AGGTAGCATGACTTTAACGGGAGAATCCACCACGTGGCCAATCACCAACACCGTCAAACCAGTGAGATATCTAATGGTCGGTTTCAAAAACTTACCCGAATGAGCAAAAATATCTATGTTCAAAATTTATTGTATATCCCTATTTTGCATAATCTCACCTTTTTAATGATATCTCACAGATGATAGGCCTATATTGGTCAAAAATGCGCTTTTTAAAATTTAAAAATTTTGTACCGACTTTCATAGTAACTGTGCGTAATTTGTTTTTCGTCGTATAATCTTAAGTCTTTCACGTGATTTAATAACTTTAGACCCTTGGAATTTTGCATTTTACGATAACAGACATGACACTTAGTGTAGTCCCTTTGTTATTACGATGGATCTGTTCTTATTAAAATGTATATTTTGAAGACAAAATTTATTCTTTCTATCTAACTGTATACGTGTTATATTTTGTATGTTTATTGAATTTGTCACAAAAAACCAAGTAACTCATGAACCACCACAGATGAAACGTAGAACCCATTCTTCTAATCCATTTATAACAGTGCATCTTCATTACGCGTATGCCTACTCTTTACTGATTTTACACATTCTCAAATTTTTACATTATTAATTAAATCTGGATAGAAATTACTTGAGCCTTTTTGGTTGATAAGTGGGGTCTGTTGAAATGTGTTGCTATAGACTTCGGCGTGCCGATGAGTCTTTGCAAACTAGATATACCTCTTACCTGTAATACCTGTTCTTCGGCCTGCAACGTCTAATAAGACTTCCAAATTGAAGGTGAAAAAATAATTTTGTTTCTTTTCTTTCTTGTTTTAGTGCGCATGTAACATGTCATGAATAATTTTGTGTGTGATTTGGTCTGATAAAATGGGTGAGTATATAGTATTTCATTCTATTTCCATAAAGTTGGGTCTGAATGTGAGAGCGATGTCCCAAGTAGTGTTCAGATTAGATTTGAATTGGTTAAGACTTGAAGAGTTGATTACATAGCCTGGGTGGGAATTCCAAACATTGATGACAAGTACAAAAAAAAAGTTTTTTGTTAGATTGATTCTACATTGTGGTTTCACCAATTTCATTTGATGTCCTCTGGTCACCGATGTAAGAATTGGGATGCGCATTGCCTCGGTACCAAAGCACGGTTCAAGTTTTTTTTGGTTCGGACCCAGAGGATTACAGAGAAAAGAACAATGATAAATAACTGGACACAATTTTTTTTTTGTAACTAATCACCTTGTTTCGGTATATATTCTCATTATTCTGTTATTTTGTATCATTGCTTGGTAAAGACGAAAGTGCCTTCGTCTAAACATCGCAAGTTATTTATTACAGTAATTGTGTCCAGTTATTTATCACCGAATTACTAAATGCCACTTAAGGAAGTTAACAATCATGAAGCAAATTAACAAAATATTTAATTAAACACAAGAAGCCAATAAACCAATAACTACAGTGGGATTAAGAGTTAACAAAATCATATAAAAATATATAAAATATTAAATAAAAGGAAAAACAAAAGAAACAAAATTGAAATTTCATTTCGATTAACTTGATTCCGATAAGGATTCATCTGTAATTACACCAAAAAAGTAGTATATGTCTTTTCGGATATGACGCATTTCACTTCTGCGCATGAGCAGCTTTTTCATGCGTCATATCCGAAAAGACACAACTGTTAAAATGTATTATAACAGACTCCCTAAACTGCTAAAATGTATTATAACAGACTCCCTAAACTGCTAAAATGTATTAAAACAGACTCCCCAAACTGTTAAAATGTATTATAACAGACTCCCCGAACTGTTAAAATGTATTAAAACAGACTCCCCAAACTGCTAAAATGTATTAAAACAGACTCCCCAAACTGTTAAAATCTATTATAACAGACTCCCCGAACTGCTAAAATGTATTATAACAGACTCCCCAAACTGCTAAAAAATGTATTATAACAGACTCCATATAAATTACAGACAAGAATCACTATAATAATACAGTATAAAATAACCGCATTAAAAAATAAGATGTCCTTAATTTTAAAACACGAACAAAAAAAATTCGAAGGAGACGGTTTCTTCTCTGCGCTAACATCTCTCATCCCCAAAGTGGCCAACTTTGTCTCAAACAACAAATCCCTCATTTCCTCAGAAGCGCAAGCTCTTGGTTCTGTGGCAAAAGCAGGAGTAAATATAAGCGATGCAGTGAAAAAATCTGACGAACTTAAAGAACTGCAGCTAATAAGAGAACAAAGAAACAAGAGACTAAAACGACAAGCCCTTGAAAAACAAGGAAAAGGGTTTAAAATCATTGGATAAAAATGGCAAGCAAAAATTACAGATTGGATCCAATCTTTCAATTGTATGATCCGATTCAATATTCGTTCAACAAGAAAGAGGATTACGTAATCATCTCACCATCGGTAGGGACAAAGACCCAAATAAACGACGGAGGAAGTTACCTTTGAAATTAATTCGTTGTCCAATTGGTTGCTGCTTTCCGATGCCCATTTCCGATGCGATTTCAAAATCAAAGACGCCACTCAGAATCGAATTCCACAAACCAACACGTCTTTAGAAAACAACTTCTTTCCGTCTTTATTCAGCGAAATGGTTTTGGAAGCTTTTTCAAATCCGATAGAGACCATTAAACACCCACAATGTTGAAAACGGTTCTGTATCCCAAAAACTACGATTCAGTTTCGGGATGGATTCCCGATGTCGGTGACGGAGAAGTTTTAAAAGAACCGGTCAGAACTGTAGCAAATGACGCAGACCTTGCTAGGATAAGGGTAGTTGCTAGAAACACACTGGAAAGAGTGTCTCGCGGAGTAAATCACGGATTTGAAAAACGAGCGCTCCAATACAACAATGTTGTCGAGAACAACAGATGGGGTAATTACGTAAATTGGAAGTTGTATCCTTTATTTGGTCTGTTGGAACACAGAAAGGTTTCCATAGGTTTGCCGTATAAAATTCATTTGCAAAGAGAAATCAACGACAACAAGATATTCTTTGGTGAAAACAACTCTGACGCAAAATTGGAAATAACGAATATCCAACTTTACATACCGGTAATCACTCCTTCCGTAGAAGTGGAAACGAGAATATTCAACTCTTTAAACAAAGACATCGAAATTGCTTTTCTTCGTCGTAACACGGTAGGTAGCATGACTTTAACGGGAGAATCCACCACGTGGCCAATCACCAACACCGTCAAACCAGTGAGATATCTAATGGTCGGTTTCAAAAACTTACCAGACTCTCAGACAAACAACAACATTTTCAGAAGGGCATTGAACCATACTCAAGATCCCATCATTCGCAAAGTTCAAGTCAGATTGAACAACGATAATTATCCCAATCAACCGTTGACAATTGATCCTTCCAAAAAAGATTACAACGAATTGTACAGAAACTATTAAAACATGTGCGAATTGTTTGGAAATACTCCTCAGTTTGAATACACAGATTTTTCACTCAATCATCCAATCAGCTCATCAAGAAGATCTTTTCAAAACAGGGGCAAACATAAATATTCACATTGAAAAAACACAAAGAGATGTGACCGGCTACTGTTTATTGCTGGAAGAAGCAAAACATTTGATTAAGATATCAGATAGAAGAATGATAAGAATTGAATAAAAAAAACACCCTTTAAAAATGAAACCAGAAACATTAGTTATGAAAATAATAGAAGCTATCGAAACGAATTCGCCTACTCTAATAACTTACAACGATAAAAAAGTGCACATAACCCAAAAGATTATCGATAAATACAAACATTGGAAAGTCAGAGACGATATAGACTTGGAAAGAATTGATCAGAATTTAACTAAAAAAGGTGGATTTTTACCTTTCTTACCTTTAATCTTTGCTGGTTTAGCTGCAGCAGGCGAAACTGCTGGTGGGGCTGCTGGGATAGCCAAAGCTGTCAACGATAAGAAAGCTGAAGCCGCTGCAAACGCCGAAGCACGTAGACACAATTTGGCAATAGAAAGAGAAGCACGAGGAGGTTCGGGAGTAGGAGATATTTTAGGCACGGTTAAAGAATTCGGACAAAGATTTGGCGAAGAAACCAAGAAAACCGTTAAAGAGGGATTAAGCAAATTAATAGATAATATCGACACCGGAGAAATAAAAGTCAAACACAAGGGCAACGCCATATTTTTTAAAAACATACGTTCGGGCGAGGGAATCTTTCTTTCAAAGTATATAGGCAACGGGGTGATTTTTGGTACGAAAATGTAATAAATAAAAATGGGCAAGAAATTCAAACATTCGGACATATTTCCTAGCAACCCCATGCTCATGTGCATTTGCGGATCTTCGGGTTGTGGAAAGACTTACCTCACTTTTAACATGTTGACAACACCGAACCTTTTAGATTTCGAGTCTCTGTATATTTACATGACTACTCCTGAACAATCCTATTATCAGTTTCTCAAAGCTTTGGAATACGTCTCGAAAGAAGAAGTTCAAGACATTTTTCACTAATACGAAAGCAACGAAGACTTGCAAGAGAACGCGGAATAAAAGACATTTTAGACGGCTTTATCAAAGAAAAGAATCTTTCTCTGAAACCGACCGACGTCAAAGTGTTTCTGACTAAAAACGTCAACGATTTAGACTTGTCTAAAATCGACAACCACCGAAAGAACTTGATTGTCAAAAAAGTCAAACCGTTCAACAAGAATTCTTCATGAAAGGAAGACATCACAACTGTCACTGCATATATCAATCCCAATCTTTCTACGGAATGGACGCCATGTTTATCAGAAGGAACACAAATTGTTTTTTATTATTCGAATTAAACGACAAAGATTTATCTCAAATCATTCAGTCGATAAATCACGGAATGGACAGAGACACGTTTAAAAAGGTTTGTAAAGCTCAATGGAGAAACCCGCATGATCATGGATATGTATTTGTTAATACTAGAAAACCTGCAGGTGAAAGAGTTATGATCGACATATGTTAATTTTATTTTTTTTAAAAATGACGGATCGGAATAATATTTTAAAAAGAAATAGAGAATATATCAAAGCTAAGAATAAAATAAAGACTCAAGTTGAAAATAACAGATTACAACATCTCGCATTAACGGAAAATCTACAGACTCTATTTCAACCAATATTAAAAAGTCAAGAAGATTTTAAAAAGATACTCGCTATAGAACCTTTACCCCATAAAGATCCACTGAATGAATATGGAGGTATTAAGACAATACGTTATTTTTCAAACCCCGACCTAGATTTACCAAAGAGATTTTCACCAATCGTTGATGATGAGGGTTTGTTGTTCAATGGTTTTAGAATAAAATTTAGTGGAAATTCACCACAATTCAAAATCGACACAAAAGACTTTATATTTACATTAACGAGAGGATTAATATATTTAATGAATGGCGCGGATGTTGAAATTGCCGATTACAAGGATTTAGTAGCATACTCAAAATTTCTACATGCGATCAGAAAGTCAGGACCCGAAACAAGAAGATTGAAAGAAGTTGATTTATATATAACACAAGTTATTGAGGAAGAGGAGGTAGATGATTATGCAGAAGATTATCCAATCATACAAGAAATAGACGAATTCTATATATATAGGTATAACGTTTTTATCCGACAACAACGAGGAACTAGTTAATAGATTACGAGTAATATTAGCGGCCATGAAGGAAGGTCATCGATCGGACAGACAATACAACGAAGTCAATGGCATATTAAAACGACTTTTGGAGAAAAAAAGCATCACTAAAAAAGACTATATAAAAATGTCCAATAAAGAGCAATTGTTCATTATCACCTCGAATAAACCAGACATCAAATTGTCGCTGGACTACGAGTATGAACTCGATCGCAATAAACAGTACGAACTGGGATTAAAGTATTTCTCCGTTTACAATTCCATTAGAAATATCAACGAAAACAACAATCAACTAAAAATATCGACGGATAACAGAGTTACGTTCAGAACCATAAGCTTACTACCGGGAAGCTACGAATACGTAGCCATCAACGATTACCTATCCGAATACGCAGGAAGCGTGAGCGGTAAAAACAATATCGAATTCGAAGGCAATTTGAAATCAAAGACGGTAAAAACAGGTTCATAGACTTTGGCAACGAAGAAATTGTCATTCAACTTCATTTAAACCAATCTTCATTCTCTTCTTCAATAGTAAGATAATCGAAATCATCAAATTCATAGTTTTCATCAAAACTATACTCATCTTTGTCGTTGTAAGGATACATAATTCCTTCACTGTTTGGTGGTTTTCTTTTAACATTATTCAAATAACTTCTAAAAACTTTAGTTTGTTTATCATTTGGAATAACTACTCCATTGGTGAAACTTTTTTCCCATGGTTTGTTAAATTCATTCGACACATCATGTCCGCTTGCTAACTGAACGTATTCTTCTACAATTATCTTATCATTAGAATAACCGTTAAATGTTATCTTTTCTTTTAAAACACCATCAGAAGTCAAAACGATGTTGTATTTGACTTTTGGTGCTAAATATAAACCAAATATAATTCCACCGTCACGGTAATCGTTTTTACCTTTGCAATAGTCTTTTTCGGAGACCAAACCAGCTCTGTTTAGTTTTTTCCAATTGTTGGATGAAATGTACAAACTATCGGTGTCGGTATAGTATATTTCGGGTTTATAAAATCCATTTATGACGTGAATGAAGTTGTTCATTATTTTTTTACTGTGAGATAAAACGAATGATCCCAAAAGGTGTTAGTCGTGTAGATTTACTATCTTCGGTAGTAATCTCTTTTTCTTCAATTTCTGTTTCAACAATATATTGAGTATCATTAATTTTCTCATAGGTTTTAACACGTGAATCAAAGTTAGCCTGTAAAGTTGCTTCATTCCATAAATGTCTAGTTGTGAATATATCTTTCTGAATTGATTTACCATACAAGGAATTACCTAATAATTTCATGCAATTACTACCCACGATATTACCTTCTCGTTTATATTTATTTCTTAGATCTCTCAAAATTAAAATATAATCTCTATAGGGTGGAGTTTTAAAATTTTCTTCGTATACTATACCGTCTAATATTCTAATAATTCGTCCACCGGCTTTCACTATTTCTTGAATATCAACCGATGTTAAAACGTCGTGACAGAAACCATTTCTGAACCTGATTTTGTTACCAGTTTCCTTTTTACCTTCTTTATTCGTGAAAGTGATTTTATCTTTAGCTGGTATCGGTTGGAAGAACATGTTTTTGGGATACTCAAACCACACTGTTAAAATAGCTGTTCTAGGTCTGAATTTTTGTTTATTGAAGAGTTTCTTCTGGTAGAAACGGTCTTCCACTTTCTGCTCTCAGATATTCACTGTCTAAATCCGATATTGCTGAAGCGTATAAACCGTTAGCATCAAATGCCATTAATTTAGCACACTTTATTTTTTTAAATCTCGAATGAACCTCCGTTTTGTCTTTTGTGCTTGCGCTGTATTCCTTGAATAAATCAATTATGTTATTACTTTCAAGTTCTGTATATTCCTTTAATACATTACAAATTTCGTCCATTTTGTTCCTTTCAAATGATTTTCTATTTGTCGAAACTCTTCCTCCTTTAATAGATCGTCTGATAAGATTTCTTATGAAAGGATTAGTGTGCGAATAAACTTTTTCTATATTTTCTTTTTCAGTATGTTTCGCAACCATTCTAGTAGTTTCATACCATTCTTCTTCAACCATTCTTTATCGTAATGATATAAATAATACCAACCCTTTAAAGATAAAGATGGAGCCGTTAGATTATTTGATATATTCTGGTTTACAACTTCTTTCATGACTTGGTTATATTTTATCAAACAAGCTCCCAAACAGAGAGTGTCTCTCTTGGCGTAAGGTTCCCATTCGTGTCTCAATTCCTCCCAGTTGTCTTGCGTGTATTTAGCGATATCTACGTCGGCAATCTTTCTCAAATTCGCGGAAAGATTGGACGAATTTCCCCATGCAGCCAAACTAGATTTTTCATGTTGATAGGGACATGTGAAATTAATATGTTGTAAATAATTACCCTTTATTTCTTTCTGTCTTTTCCATTTTTTTCTGTGTATGGATTAGATAAAGGAAAAGAAAGAATTCCTCTGGGTGTTTTTAAAGGACAATGCGTTAGTTTTTTTTTGTATTTTTAAGCACGATTTATGTAGTTATCAAAAATTCTTCTGAAACATTATCAGTAGGAAAGATATCTTTTATCGTTTCTAACTTTTTTCTTAGTTTTTCTAAATTAATTAAAGTGCAGGCATAAGGAATTGCTCTTCGCGTGTCTTTTTCTGAATACGTTTCGCAATCCCAAGAGAATAACGCATCATCACTCATACTTGAAAGCACGTTTAGTTTGAGAGGTGAAACTTGTGTTACTGCGTTATCATCTCTACACGTTTTCCACACCTGTTCGTAATTGTCTTCTATTTCTTGAATTCCCAAACTTTTTTGGCTTCTTCTAATCAGACAGAAATGCGAGTTGTGTAAGTAAAAAACCCAATCTAATTCATCATGTACGTCTCTGGGATGAAAATGTCTGTTTTTGGGATTATAAATTTGAAACGAAGTGTTAAATTTCTTATTGAATTCCTTCATTCTAGCACTATCATCACTCCTTTTCTATTTGCTTTTGAAAACCCGTTGATGTATTCTTGAAATTTACACGTTAAATCTTTGTTCAAAACACGATTGACGCATTTGATAAAACAGTGACCATCTGTAGGTATAATTTCATATCATCCCTTTTATCAATCAAACGTATAGTCTCTTCCAAATTACCATTTAGACTATTTTATTGACTTTCACCTTCATGGGAAAATCTATTTCAATCAGACATCTTCCTCGAAAAGTAAACGCTTCCGTTTCGCCGATATCAAATACGTTTTTAGGTTCTCCATCTACGCGAGAAGCTACTTTTATTTCTACTTTGAATCCATATTTGTTTGATTTATAACTTTGGTCTTTTCTATCGAAGACAGTATCACTTTCGAATGGAAGATTGAAATAATACGACTTGTCCGTGACAATAGCTTCCAATTTGGTAAACTTTCTCTCTTGTCTCAAAAAATCGTCATGAATTCTAGATACCAAAAGATTGACTTGTTCTTTAATATATTCTTTGATATCATCTTGAAATTTATTTTGAAGAAAGTTTTTAATCACACCCACTTCTTTTTCTAATTCGTCCGTGATTTTAGTATCCAAAGCAGTCAATTGTCGTTTCAACGTATCTTTGTCAATGGGAAGTGTGTTAATTATATCTTGAACATCTGATTTTTGCTTCGCGATCTTTTCGTTCAATTTGGATACTGAATTTTGTAACTCAGTTTTGTCCACGGTCTTATCTAGTTCTGCTAGCAATTCACCAAGTTTTCTTTCCAAAGCGGTTAGTTTTCGTTTCAATCTTTCCTCGTTTACATTTGGGTTATCTATTAAACGTTGGACGTCTATTTTTACCTTCGTAATCTTATCGTCTAATTTAGATATTAAATTTTGCAACTGACTTGTTTTATCCACCTGAATAAGACGTTTTAAACTCGTTAACTCTTGTTGTAGTTTGGGTTCGTCCACAAGATTTTTAATATTTCGTCTGAGGTATCTTTTCACGTCAGTTATTCTATTTTCAACATGGTCCTTATCTATTTGAATTTGATCCAGTAAATATTTCTTGTTCACGGCATCGCTATCGTTTCCTGGAAACTTTAAATTAGTTATTTTGAAATTGTTCATATCGATATCCCCTTGTAAGGTGTCTCCGATTTGATCCACGAAAAAAGGTTTCGCTTTGTTTATAAACGCCGTCATGGGATTTTTAGATTCTAGAGGTAAAGACCCTAATCCAAACTTGTTTGCCATTTTTATTGAGTTAAATTTATTATAATTTCTTCAAACTTTTCTCCCAAACTCAAGCGATATAAAACCCAAAGCGACAGCTGTCCACACAGCTTTTGTCCTGGCATTTGAATTTGAAACGTAGAACATTTAAATGGTTTGCTAGTCAATTTCGTTATCTCTTCTGTCGGCTCTAGACCGAAAGAATCAAAGAAATAAAAGTTATTCAAAGAATCTTTGTGTAGAGCAGAATGATGAACTCCTTTTTGATCCGACGTATGAATGTTTGTGATGGCGTAAAATTTACCTTTCTTGTATTTCAGTTCATCAAACGGCGAGACGTTCAATTCCTTGGCCCATTTCACAAGTTGAAAGTTTGTGGTCGTGTCTTTTCCGTATTTATCGAGAAACGCATTCATTTTTAAAAGTCAGTTTTTTTTTAAGTTAAATCCCGAGAAATATTTTGAGGTGTTATGTTTTTCAGTATGCGGTAAGTATTGTTGAAGACCCAATTGACGAAATATATACGTAGTTTATATTTTACAACATTCTGATAAAACACATTCAATAATATTTTGAAGATAAATTTACATTTAAATTTAAAAAAATTTAATTTAAAAAAAGCGTAAATGCTTGTCGACATCTGAATTTCTTAACCTTTCATCTAAATCTTCATTTTCGAGATTCATTTTTAAAAGTCAGTTTTTTGAAATTCATTTTGATAAAACCTTCCTATGATTTGTTCTTTGTCTTGATCGATCAATTCATACGTGGGAGGTGATGTGCTATTTACTTTATCAACGATGAATATCTCGTTAGTCCAATACCCGACGTAACCTTTCTGAAACAATGATTTATATTTAAAAATACGAACTCGATCTCCAACTTAGAATTTGGGTTTAATATTCAAATTGCTAATCTCGTTTTCAAAGTTGTTTTGAGTGTTGACGGACTTTATGATATTAGGGTTATTCGAGGCTTGCGTTGGCGTCACACCAATAGACGAATGTATTTTGTTATTGTATTCGTCGACAACAACTGGTAATATTTTAAGCCATTTTTGAGATTTCAATTCCGTGAATTTCTTGAATAATTTGCTTTTAAGAGTCCTATCACTACGGCCTTACCTTCGTTATGCGTGCTGTAAATTTCAAACCCCAGAGATTTCACATTTCTGTTGTAGAATTCGCTTCCTTTATCAAGCCACAACTTTAGGGGTCGTCTGTCGGATTGTTTCATTATGGTTTCGAATGCTTGTTTGACAGTCAGACCCGATTTGTTTTTCAAGGGAAAGACCCAAGCGTATCTCGTGTATACAGTCCTAACTTTTACTAAAACTGGAATGTGATGGTTCATTACTCTTTGACAGATATGATACAAATTTATATTGTACCTTGTCACCTATTGATGATACCCTACTAAGAAGGTACAATAACTTGACCTGTTCTTGGCACAGTGGTATTAGATTTCATGTTCTAAATTTAGTACAGAGCCCTTCTTCACTAGATTAAATTTGAAATTTTGGTTCTCTTAAGCAAAACTCTGTTCTTTGAAAGGAGGATAGTCGTGAAAATTTCAGAAATCAGAATCCCATCAATCAGGAATATCAACAAACAAATCTGATCATTATAGAAACACAATTTAATATGTGATAAAATTTTGCAATTTTTAAAAAGCTGTAAAGTTTTAGCATTGCAAAACCATATAAAAAGTTTGGAGGCGAACGTATATTTATTCAGATAAATAGATTGTTACTCATAATTTGACAGTACCCGGTAATATTTTTATGAATAAGTTCTTGTAGGAAATGCATCCAATTCTCCAAATCTGTGCTCATAAAATTAGCAAGTAAGTAAGTGAATGAACTAAATTGCCGCTTTTCATGACAGAAATTGCTGAAGCGCCATAGATGGTCGATGGTTTTAAAGTGTTTTACATTACAGTAAAATACATTTAGACAGAAACTGCAACTCATTATGGACGGGGGCGGGGGCCTCAGTGGGGTCCATAGGCGCCAATTTACATTGAATAATTTCAAAACAAGATACAAAAGAAACCAAGGAGTTTATAGAATGGTTTTAAAAAAATTGAATGAAGGTCAATAACAAAAGTTATTATAAGAGAGGTCATAAAGATGTGTATGTATGTAATATGATACTGGTCAAACATTAGGGCAGAACTTTACTTTGAAACTTTAATTGGGCAGATTTATTGCAATGTAAAGACCTGATGACATATTGTTTACAGTAGACATACCAACTGATTATAGTTACTGGACCATGGGCAGTACAGAATACTCTTTTTTTGGTAGTAAAAGTTACGACTGTATATGTCGATCACCGTCAAACAATACTTGTACCCTCTCTCGACTGGCATGCTGATTAAATCGGCTGACCAAATTTCATCTTTATCAAAAACTTTAACTTTGAGTTAATGTTTGTTTTTTCGAAATTCTTTGTGAATCTCGTCTGCTATGCCCATACCCAATTTCAATTTTGCCTTCAAGAGTTTTATGATAAGAGCCCTTTGTAATTTCTCTTTGAAAGTGGGATTGGGAATATTTTCGAGTCTATCATTTGTTTGTCTGCTTGGTGTCTGAATGTTATGTCTTTGTTTCTGTACAGTATGTGGTGTTTGAGCGCTGCTGCGTCAACTCTATTAACGGGTTCTTCCCCTGGTTTGGGGTTATCATTTTCGTCTAAACGCAGATCTAACCTAGTGCCTGGACCTGTATAATTGTGCCCTGGGAGTTTTTTTTTTCCGGGATATTTTGCCCATGGGAATCCAGGAAGAGAACCCAATGACTTTTGAATGTCTCCCTCACCGAAATACGTTTTAGGAGGATGGATATTTATTAAAGACATATTTGTTCAATAATGAAATAAACACCATATATTTTTAATACGAAAGATTTAATACAGGGGAAAACTATTCAAGCGATAGAAATGAATCACTTTATGAAATGTAACGAGCGATCCTAATAAGAGCGGTCATATAAGAGTGGATTGAAAAATGAGGTCACGAGCGATCCTAATAAGAGCGGTCATAGTTATCTCCCGTCTTACACTATTGACAGTCATAATTTAAAGGTCACGACCGCTCTTATTAGGATCGCTCGTCATCCTTTGTTCTATTTTCGAAAACTGTATCAACAATTTTAAAACCTTGGATATTTGTCACAGAGTTTGGTAAAAATTCTTGGCCTTTTTCTATCCCCTTACCGATGGTTTAAATATTCTTCGTGATATGAAATGTTGGCATCTATTAAACTGGAATAAAACAAAAATTGATATTTTTGAAAAAAAACAGCAAGTTAATCTTAATTCCACCCTGTCGTCTTATGATTAAATCAAACAAAAAAGAACATACCTTGATTTTTGTATGGTTAAATTCCTAATCTTCAACAGTTGAGAGTCTAGACTGTCTGTGCTGACGTTGCACGCGTGATATGTTAATTATTGCGTGACAACAATAGAGGAGTGATTGTTACTAGGCGTTAAAGGTATTTATTAAATGAATAATACTCTAGACTGTGTATAAACAAAAAACAGTGTTACCTCCCATTAATCAGTTGAGGTTTTTATCCAATAATTTTATTTCGCATTTCTCTTATATGTTGTAATTCTTTCAACTCGTTAGATCTTTTCACTACATCTACTCCTGAGGAAATTTATTGTTTGAGACAAAGTTGGCCACTTTGGGGATGAAAGGTGATAACGCAGAGAAGAAGCCGTCTCCTTCGAATTTTTTTTGTTCGTGTTTTAAAATTAAAGACATCTTTTTTTTAATGCGGTTATTTTATACTGTATTATTTTAGTGAATCTTGTCTGTGGTTGAGTAATTTATATGGAGTCTGTTATTATACATTTTTTAGCAGTTTTGGGAGTCTGTTTTAATACATTTTAACAGTTTGGGGAGTCTGTTATAATACATTTTTAACAGTTTGGGGAGTCTGTTTTAATACATTTTAGCAGTTTAGGGAGTCTGTTATAATACATTTTAACAGTTGTGTCTTTTCGGATATGACGCATGAAAAAGCTGCACATGCGCAGAAGTGAAATGTGTCATATCCGAAAAGACATATACTACTCAAAAAGAGCAATTTCACTGTCAAGAAATGTAAATGCTGATGCATCTTGAGCTAAAAGTAGACACAGTGATCCAGGAAACGGGTTAATTTCATCAAATGAAAACGAAATACATCTTTCGTTTAAAGCGCATTCCTTTTGACATGCACCAGCTTTTGTTTCACCAGAGCTAGAGCTCCCAGAACTATCTTCATCAAGAGAACTTTGTACTAATAAAGCTGCAAGTACTCTTGAAGCTTGATATAAATGACAATCAACAAATGTCGGATCATAGAGAGCTACTCCACATCCCGGTATAACTTCACATATCGTATCACATATTGGCTGGCTTCGAGTAAATACTTCTTTGATAATTCTAGCGTAAATCCCTTCTGGGACAGCCTTCTTCTCTTTCAGGGCAAATGTGCGACCTTGGACTGTAAAATAAGAAAGTTAGGAGGCTATTAGGAGAGAACGACGACTCACACTGGCCTTTAAGAATACATGTATTATACATTTAATTTCAAATACCAAGTTGTCTTTGAACAATACCTATATATACAAAAAAGTCAGAAATCAAAGGGACGATAAACAAGGTTATAATCTATGGATATTTTGAATACATGTAAGACAATTTGTAACACTGAACGCAAAATGAAAAGCACAAAAAAACCCCAAAAAACATTGCATCTTAAAAACATGTACCGACAAACCAAGATGGTATCCTACAAAACAGTCATTTTAAAGTGATACTACGTCTTAGAATACACTCGGCCTGTGGCTAATATTTGTGTTTAATAGTGACCATTGATTAAATAAGTATGCATCCCACACTTTATCAAGTTTGAAAAAGCGACAATAAATCTATACTCAATTTTTTTTAAAAAGTGAGCAAGCGACAAGTCTGTTCAGTTTGAGAAAAAAAGAAAACAATCATCTTCCGGTGTATACAAACAAACTTTGCCAATGATTAATATTCGTTGAAAATTGTGTCAGTGGTGGCATTCTAAATTATATGAATTGCTTTTTCGCGGAGTCGCTTAATCTCCTACGAGGCATTATTATTCCGTCTTCAAAATATGTCTGACAATGTCGAGGTCAATTCAAGAGTAGAGGTCAAGGACGCGGGAAACCCCACTTGAGAGTTACTTCCCCTTGAAATTTGAAACACCGGATTTCCTAGACTCACGATTTGAAAATCGCTTAATGGATGTATTAATGGACGTTTTATAATTAATTACTTGATTTTGTGGATATATCGGATTATAGAGGGATTATGTAGATGTATAGTTAGGACATCAGGTAAGTCCACTGATGGATATACTGTTATTGGCCAAATTTGAGCAAAATTAAAATTTTATGTCCATCCTAAGACGTAGTATCCTTTTAAGTTAACAATTTCCTATCAACAATGAAAATTTTTTTAGACCCAACAACAAACACTACATTCTCACAAAGCTCAAAACTTAGAAAAATGGAAACTTGTCCGTTGATCATCAAAATCGGTAGAGTGAACACGAGATGGCACCCGACAAATTTGGAAATTTTGCATTTGAATTTATAATCCATTATAACACTGCCAAAAATTATCCGCGCCGTTTTTGGACCGAGTATGGTTCATTTCAAGCTATCCAATGTTTAAAATTTGGAAATGCAGCTTTTGCTAAAATAAGTGAAAAAAAAAAAAAATAAAACATATCTCCCGAAAGTCAAAAGGTATCTCCTTGCTTAGTTATTTTTAAACTGATTTCTCTGGAGTGAGCATGAGCTTAATGACGTAGAGAACAGACGCAAAGGCCAATAACTGGGGGTAATTGTGGCGATAAGGAATAGGCATCATTACTTGTATCGAATGAACAAAAAATAATGAAATTTCGCTTTGAATTTTAATCTGAAGAGGGACACGAATCGACATTGTACTGCAAGTCCTATCCACGCTGAAAATGTCAAACTGTAAACACTATAGGCTACTGTATTGGATTGGATTGGATTTTACGATAGGATGGGGTGTTTTTGGATAATGGTGTAGTAAAATCATCATTTATTTGTATATTGCCTTGCGGAATAGTGCATTTGAATCACGTCCAAATACGTTTGTATAAGTAAAAGCTACTTTTTGGTTATTGTCCGAAGTTTATTACAACAATTTGTACAGTTAAAACAACAAATAAACAATTTACAAGACCTACCTTCGTCACTATGACAAAGAGCAAGAAACATAAAAACCAAGACACTTGATTTGGTAGAATCTGGAGGAGGTATAATAGAATATAATAATTCTGTAATAGAATGGTTAGCTGATTACAAGTCTATCGTTAAAGATGCAGTTAGACCGAAACATCTGCTCCTATTCCAGTGCATATAATAGCTAGTTTGAAAGTTGTCGGCTGTTTAAGGACAGAAATATATAGTAGGCCCTGGTTTGTGGAAATTTTATGCACCTCAGAGGATGCTGGGGATTTTAATCTATTTCTTTAAATCGGATCAGCCATACCCCATCACCATTTATGTTACGTCTCGTTTTCCACCGGATACTTCAGTGGACAATCCAGACAGATACAGCAAATATTATCTATTCGGGCAGCGACCGAAAAAATATCGGGAAAAAATCCCGAAAACAAAGAAAAATACAGGTACAATTGGTAAGAAAATTTCCGACAAACCACCATGCCCCTCTTGAAATTTCATTAAATTTTGATGAATTAATCGAATTGTTATGTTGAATCCTTACATGTATATGCACGAATATAGGTTAATACCATTGAATATGCGACTTTAAGCACAGTATAAGATAAGATTACGGACGATGAAAAACAAGGATGAAGAGGAAGGAAGCGAACCACTTCAAACCAAAACGACACTCTTCCGACCATTGAAAAAAAAAAAACCCCGCATCCCCCGCCTAACGGTTTCGGTTCTGTACCACGTGGAGGTTCTAGGTGTCGTACCTGCGAATACATACACGTTTCTCATTGTTTCGAATACAAGAAAAACAGTAACATTTTCACACTCACGGACGTTCTTTCGTGTATCCATAAAAAACATCATATACCTTATTTCCTGTAAAAAATGCGATGTACAATATGTTACGCGTTGCGTAATCGTCAAAGCGGTCATTTTTGAAATTCTTAATAAAGAATAAGACCAATCGCGAATCATTTCAATTCAACCAATCATTCCATTGAAGATCCTTTTTTTTATGCCAATAGAAAGGGTTTCTGTATCTACAACGATCAAACCAAAAACCAAGCAATTGCAAAGAGATATTTCTGAATAGACCAATTAGAAATATACAGCATGACAATCAAATTATACCTTTCGTTGCCACCTACCTACAGCTAAAAATGCCTCTGTGATTGTTAAACGCATTTATAAACGTTTGGTGACTGCTTACAAAAGGAATAAAAATCTGAGTAATGTTCTTGTCCATGGTAGATTAAATCCCCTTTCATTATCTCCAAAAGGGGGGTAACTCGTATCGATTATCGATTGGTTTCGAGATTATTTGAGGTTGTTGTTTTTGTCTCACCGAGTTGTTTCGGCACTCGGCTCATCGACTTGTCACTGTAAACATCAACATGTATTTTTAAATCCGAATAAATCTAATCGAACTTGAAACCATCGTTGAGTTTCATTCATGTTTTCTGAAGGCCCGGAGAACATTTGGTAGCAGAGCGTGGTTTTAAATCCAGATGAATTAAAAACCTTCTTTATTTTGGCCGAAAATGATGTGTACCATTCAACGGATTTTCGAGGCAGACATTTTGTTCAGCATGTTTGTTTACAAAATGCTCAACTAGTTGGAGTGACTCGAATCCAATATGTCCGATGACGAAGGTACTGGAAGCCGGCTAAATACAGAAAACGTACAGCATGGTGATGGGCCAAATCAACACAACGACAGCGATATTGGTGATGGTGAAAGACTGAAGTTATGGTTGAAAAGAAAGCGCATCGTAAAGAGCCAGCTTACTAAAGCCAGGTTAGCATTAACTGCATTATTATGCTCTAATGAATCACACGAAAAAATGAAAAACGCAGTTGGACATGTTCTAAATTGTCAGGAAGAAGCAATTGACATTCTTTTGGCCCTATGTGATATCGATGCTGACAAATTTGAGCCCGAACTTGAACTTATTCAATCTGATCCTGTTTTATCTGATATACTTAATAAGGCCTACACACTCCAGTTCAATGCAGATGACATTAGGTCCCCAACGAGCAGCGAGAGGGGAGCGAGCCCTAATCAACAAGATGCCAATTTGCAAGTTGACAAAGACATGTATCACCAATTAAAGCGTGTCACTATTCCAAAATTTAACGGTAACAAATTGGAGTATCAGATTTTCATGGATGCCTTTAAGCAGTGTATCGATCAGTGTCAATTGCTTTGACTTATTTGCATAATTTGATCCCAACATTTTCACGCTAGCATATACAGTTTCCTCCTGTTACATCCGCTGTACATTCCCTTCTAACCCCAAGTTATTTTCATTATGCTCCCCAACTACAACAACCACTGGCAAGAAGCCAGAAATAGAAACACTAATCGTCAACCAAACCAATATCACGTACCCTACAACGGCCCTGTCTTCCATCGACCTCTACCACCTACCAATCGCCGACCACCAACCAACCCATCCAGCTATATCCCACCCCATCGCCGACCTACCTACAACACAGCCTACCAATCAAGAGGTAACCGTGGACCTGACCAACAACAGAAACGACTACCAGCCCACCGACGCCAACCAGTCCCCACTCATAAGGAGGAAGAACCCTTTGTGAAGGTGTTCTTCCAAGTTTTGCAGTGCCTCCATCATTTAGCAATCCTTACCCTTCAACAGCAAGGCCAACCAGCGTTTACCTTCAAACGCAAAGTCTCTGAGTTGGATAGTTTTATCCGTCCAGCAATGAAAACATCAGCTGTCGACGCGAATATTAGATCCCTCAATCGGACATGGCTCTGTAAGGTTACGCAGGTCCTGATCGACCATTACCAAACCACACTCCAAGAGAAGCTGACCACCATTCGTACCAAGTCTTTATCATCACCTGCCGTCGACCGCATCGTTTCTCATGCCCTGTCCTGGGCCCGTCGCTCCT